CAGGGGCATGTCCCCAAGCCGTGCCTTCGCTGAGGATCTCTCTTCCCCCTGGGGCTCAGCAGCAAAGGGCACAGCAGCAGCAGTGACACAGAAGTGATGAGTAATGGGTGCTGCGGAGCTGGGCGGGCGCCGTGGCTCTGACTCCTGTTGGCAGTAGGGAGTCGAGCAGGAGATGGGCCCAGCGAGCGCTGAAGGATGAGGAGGAGGAGGAGGGCATTGGAAGGAGCTCAGGGAGTTGTGCCTTGGCTGCCCAAGGGAGGGACGTGCGTGTTTTAGCAGCTCCGTGCGGGTCTCTGCAGGGGGTGTTACGATTCTGGGACTTGCTGTTGCTCAGGGAGTTTGGATGCTCCAGACTTGGCCAGCCCCTGTCCTTTCCTGCCATAACAGGAGCCAGGACAGCTCTCCCTACCCAGCCCTCTCTTCCAGCCCGTAGGCTGGCCAGCCATCTGGCTGCTTTATTCATGACATGGTTTTTTTTCCCTCTCTGAAGCACCAGCATTCTCTTCTCCACCCAAATGAGGAAAGCTCAAATCATGCTTTTAGAGCTCAGCTGGCTGTTTCAAGAGACTATCTTTTTAATATTCTTCCTTCTTCAAGTTGATCGATATATTTAGGAAGCAGCTGCAAATGAGCACAACAGTGCTTTGCTCTCCGGTTAGGGTGGCAGGATGACTCGGTGGCAGTGGCTGCTGAAGGTGACTTTGCCCGGTGCCTCAGCACAGCACAGAGAGGGAGCGACGCCTGGGCAGAGGCACTCTGCCCACACTCCTGGTCATCTGATAAGCCAAAAATCTCTTTTCTGTCTCAGGGATGCCACATATTTGACATAGCCGGAGTGCCCCATCAGTATTTAATTACCCCTGAGGCCACCCTGCTGGCAGGGTGGGCTCTGCATCCCCTTGGTCAGTAGCCCTTGTTATGGTAGTGCTCACATTTGCATATCTTCTGGGCTCCCTGTCCTTTCTGTCTTAAAAGCAGGGCAAGTTTCATTTAAGGAGATAAAGAATGAGAAATATGAATTATAATGTAATACTTCAAACTTGAAGCTCTGCCAGTGCTCCAGCCTTTGTGTCTTTCCTTCCATGGTCCAGGGCTGGGGAAAACCCAGGGATGTCTCTGAGCTCCAGGGATGTCTCTGAGCTCCAGGGATGTCTTTGGGTTCCAGGGATGTCTTTGGGTTCCAGGGATGTCTTTGGGTTCCAGGGATGTCTTTGGGTTCCAGGGATGTCTTTGGGTTCCAGGGATGTCTCTGAGCTCCAGGGATGTCTCTGAGCTCCAGGGATGTCTTTGGGTTCCAGGGATGTCTTTGGGTTCCAGGGAGGTCTTTGGGCTCACGACTGGTTTCTGAAGGCTGTCAGAAGTGGCTTGCTGTAAGAAGGGTGCTTCAGGCCTGATGTTAGGCAGCACTTTGCTGTTCTCACCCGTAACCGATGTGTCCCCAGGTCAGAGCACGGGTGTCTGCCGGCAGGGAAGACTCTGCATCCCGCTCTTGCGTGCACCCTGGTGGTCTGGAGCTATTGCTTCTCCCTCCCTGAGAAACACGCCGGGATGGTTTAGATTGGTGGCTTTGGCAGTCTTGCAGGATTTCCTTCACAGCCATTTCCCATTTAAAAAAAAATAAGAGCTGTGAAACATCAGAGGAAAGCGGCATTTCAAGGGCACGGATTCCTCAGAGTAAAGGTGTTACTGGTGCGGAGCTCCTGCTTTCCCGACTCTTGTGATTCCCAGGACTTGCAGGGCTTATGCTAGAGCTCGGTTCAGGATATGACATGATAAGATCCAGCTGCTTTTGTTTTATTAATCTGCGATTCTGAGCTTTGTGGGAATGCTGAGGCCTTATTTCTTGCCTTTGCTGCTCTCCTTGGGGCTGACCACAGCCCAGGCCTCCTCAAATTTCTAGCAAGCTGGCTTGGGAATTCCTTAGGTGTGCACCTGCGTGGCTGCCGCTCTGCAGAAGAGGAGGGGCCTTTGATCCGGAGACTTTTAATTAATGAAAGCCAAGTGCCTTTTACACATTAGAGGCAGCATCACGGTGTGTGTGCTTGTGGGCGGCTGTGATTGCCCCTACTAGCAAGTGCTTTAATTGATTCAAAGCCACTGATTGACCTGTTTGTTCTACTCTTAACAATTAATTAACCCTGTGTGAGCAGCAAGTGCACCCTCAGGCCAGGCTGGAGGAGGGAGGAGAGGGGGTGCAGCCTCCTCCTGCCTCCCTGGAGTCACTGGGGGCTGCCTTAGGAATTCCTGCCCTCACCTTCTCCACCAGATCTGTCTGCAAAGGTGCAGAGCTCAAGTCCAGAGCATTGCAAAGGAATTGTACATCTCTCGTACGGGCTCTGTGTGAGCACGAGCTCCACCTGCACCCCTTGGGGAGGGCAGTGATGATGATCGTACTGCCATGAAAAATACCCACTGGGGCTGTCAGTTGCCTTGGTCCTTACTTCTGACCCCTGCAGATTCCCTGCTCTAATAATTCTGCTGATAATTGTTTGCTTTTTTTTTTTTCTTTAGGACCGCTTGTATTTTGTGATGGAGTACGTGAATGGTGGGGACTTAATGTACCAGATCCAGCAGGTTGGGAGGTTTAAAGAGCCACATGCTGTGTAAGTTCAGTAGTTTGACACCCTCGGGGTAGGTATTTGATGTAGCTCTGTCATACAGCTGGAAATGGAGTCCAAGCCACAGGCTTTTGTAGTTCCAGTCCTGAGCAGGAAGGAAGGACAGCTGGAATTGGAGGATGCAGGATGGTTTTTTGTCAAGGATGCTGGTACCTGCAGCTCACCTGTGTTAACCTCTTCAGAAAAGCAGGAGGCAGGGAGGTTGGGAGGCGGCCAGTGAGCTCCAGCCTCTGTGCCCCAGCACAGCAGGGTTCTGCCCCATGCTCCCTGGGACATGAGAGAGACGTTGTGTCTTTGGCTTCTGTGCTGGGGCTGCCAACCTGAGTGTGATCTGGTGGCTCTTGGCTCCTGCTCCCTGTCATCTGGAGGGAGCAGGACGTGTTTGCGAAAGACTTTATATGCTTAAATAAAAAACACAAGCAGCGAGCAGAGCCTGGGTGGGTTTGAGCCGGTGGTCTGCGCTCAGGCAGAGTCCTTTGAGACCCAGAATATTCTTGAAAGGAGGCCGTGGCAGCGCGTGTTATCTCCTTGGCCTCCCCGAGACAGCAGATCACTTTTCAAGCAGCATCTCCAGCACACAGCAGCGAGCAGCCGTAGATCCCAGCTCTCTCTTAATGAGAATTAGTGTAACGAGAAGTGACAGCCCCGTGCTAGCCCACAGCAACCTGGTCGCATCCCCACCCGATGCGAGCGGAGGGCGGGCTGTGTCATTCTCGCGTGATACTTGTCTGATGTTTCCATGTTGTGGCTGTCTTTATCCCTTGGTCATGTATGCCCGATGCGTTTCGTTCAGCGCGATTGGATCTGAAAGGTTTTCATCTCGATTCATCTCCTTTAATTATCCGTCTTCCTCTTGAATCTTTTCATTTCAGATTCTACGCGGCAGAAATAGCCATTGGCCTCTTCTTCCTGCAGAGCAAAGGCATCATTTATCGGTAGGTGAGCGAGTTCCTCCTTCCTCTCCTTCCCCAAGAACCCCTCCGGAGCAGTGTTGGGACCGGGGTGCTCTGTGGGGCTCCTGTAGCCCCTCTCTGACCCCCGAGACCCCCGAGCGGTGCCACGGATGAGGTCTGGCAGCTGCTTGAAACATCCAAAACAAAGCTGGGGACCTCAGAGGGTCGCTGGGTTCTTGTCTTAGTCCCCGTTGTGTAGGAAGGCAGCTTTGGTTCCTCTCTTGCCTTTCTGTGCACGTGACACAAACACTCCCTGGCAGCACGGACCAGCTCTGAGCCACGTATTTTGCTGCAGGGCCCTATTTTCTTACCATTGGCGCTAAAACAAGTGCTCACGAGTGGCTTATTCTGGGGTCTGCCATGCGAGGCTGTTGCTTCTGGTTCCGACACTTCTTGCCCATGCACGATACGATTATGGTGTCCAGAGTTAACTGGGGTCCTGCCGAGGACCAGTCCAAGCTCTGATGCTGCTGGTTAGGCACTGGGACCAGCGTAGCGCTGCTTTTCCCTGCTTGGGAGTATACCCAGAGCCCAAGGTAGAGCAGAACATCCTAATGAGTGTCAGGAACCATTAACTGCTTTGCACAAAGGAACGCCAGCTGCGCTGCCAAAGTTATGAGATGCTGAAGACTGTTCTGAAGATGAAAGAAGTGGAGCAAACCTGACATGAGGGATTTTTTTTTTGCCATTAGCCGCTATAGAGAGATTCTAGTTCTGCCGGTCCCCAGTGCCCCTTCTTCCTTCCTTCCTCCGAATCTGAATCCAAGCTCGTGTCCATCTGCCTTTGGCCTGTCAGGGTTCTAAGCACTGACACAATAATTGGAAAAAGCAGGCTTAAAAAACATCAAGGAGGAGGGAAATCTTGCGGATGTGCTCTGATACTGAAATAGAGACCTTTGAGTAATGCTTTACCATGTCGAGCACAAGGCAGTAGTGGCACAGGTCAAAGCACTGCGTGATAACATAGAAATTGCACCTGAAATACTGAGGGTTTGCTGCAAAACTGTCCTTCAGGCTGGAGCCCCCGCCTCTGGGGAGGCTGCTCAGGGCTGGGAGTCACATGGAGAGCTCTGCAGAGAAACTGTCTCCACAGGCTGTGCTAAAGAGCGAAGCTCCTGCAGGGCTGGGTGTAACTGAGGGATATTCTGTGGACACGGATCAGAGAAACACGGTTTGCTTGTGTTTTCGTGGGGGAGCACAGCGTAGGTGATGCGGGGACTTCTGCTGAGTAGGTACTTCCTCATTGCTGGGGAGCTCTAAGTGCACTTTGATTTGCATAGGTGCAAGAAAATCTATTAAATCTGTCTCCCTGCTAGATGAGAGTGTTTTCCCTCGTACACTTAAAAGCAATTTGCCCAGCATGGTGTTCCTGTGGGTTAAAACTAAAATAAACACTTCATCCTGACAGATCTCTGACTTATTTCCACTCGTTTCCCCGAACATTATCTTGCAAAGAGCCTGGGTGTGAGATGAAGCCAGAGCTCGCTCGCAGGAGAGGACCTGGAGCCAGGAAACCGGTGTCTTTGCTGGGTGACTTCAGGGGTGGCCTTTCGTGTCATCTGCCTGCTTTCTCTCTGTAGAGACCTGAAGCTGGACAACGTGATGCTGGACAGCGAGGGGCACATAAAGATCGCGGACTTTGGCATGTGCAAGGAGAACATCTGGGACGGGGTGACCACCAAGACCTTCTGCGGCACTCCGGACTACATCGCGCCCGAGGTAGGGGACACAGCCCGTCCGATGCTCTTTCCCACAGGATGACCTTGCTTTGGGCGGCTTTCTGAAACGGGGATGTTAGTGAATTCACCACCAGCCTGGAGAATCCCCGCCTCGGCGCTGTGCATCCCCCCCAAAGGCTATCTTTAAAGAAGCAGCGATGCTGGAGCTGCCTCCCTTTGGTTGCTTCTGCCTCCGAGGACAGAAAACCCTCCCTGCAGGCTGTTTTCCCTCCCTGGGTGTTTTTCCCATCCCTGTGCCTCTCCAGTCCTCGGCACGCTCAGACCTCGCGGGCAGCTTCTCGCACGCTTCCTCGCTCCTGGAAGGGATGAGCCCAGGAGCTCAGCTTTGCCCCTCGCCTTGTGCGACAGCGGGAGTGGAATTGTCAGTGCAGAATATTCCTATGTGAAGTGGAAATCTTCAGATCTCTCCAGCCTGTGAAGGGCTGCGTGTCTGCGGGGAGAGGCTCTCTGTCTACAGCTCTTGGTCCCTCCAACGTTTCTTTGCGTTCGGTTATTATTTATGTGGTGGAGTCACGTGTGACGCTTGCATGAAGTGCTGTACGGGTGCAGTGTAATGTCCGACTTGTGAAACTCAGGTAGGTAATTATTCCCAGATGTCTGTTCCCTTAACATAAAAATATCCCTCTAAAATCTCGCCCTGCTGAATTTTCGATGATGAGATTAATATTTATTCACGTAAATATTTCACAGAGAGAGATTCTCTTTGCAAGGACATCATTAGATGTGCTTCTGTGGTAAACTACCTTGTGTTTTGCTGCAGCCAGAGAGGTTTTTAATTACTCCTTCAAACGTGTCTTACCTCATCCTACCAAGATTAATATTGGTGTTCTCTTGGTACGTAGCTCAGTCGCTGCGCATGATTAATACTCTTTCAAAGCAGGACAAATGACCAGTTCTCTTGGAATTTGCCTGAGCATTATCACTTAAACTCTTGCTTTCTTCTCCTTGCTCCACTTTTTTTTCCCTGAAAGTAAAACAGAAAATGGGAAGCTAGGATGCAAATTGCTGTGGTACCCAGGAGCGGTGTTAAAGCCTGCTAGCAGTGAGCAGAAAAGGGGGATGCAGCTGTGGGGAGGTCCCGGCCGGGCAGCCAAGCCCATGGCAGAGCCGGGCTCCCTGCGTGAAGCTTCGCTCCAGGGCCCTTGTGCTGGACCCAGCTCCCTCCCGTTGGGAAGCTGCAGTGCTCTCAAGCCAACGTGTCTTCAGGGTAGGAATGTCCTGGGATTTGCTTGACCCATTTTAAGGGCTTTTTCTATTCTAAGGTACAGCTCTGCGTGCCAAGGCGAAGGGCACAGAGCGCGAGTGACCCCACGTGCTGGGCTTCCTCTGAGCAAAACGTGTTCTTCAGCTCCGGGGTTTTGACCTTCCCTGAAGTGCCCTCGGTGACTTCCATTTGCAGAGAGAGCTTTCCTGCAAGGATTTCTTCTGAGTCCTGTTTTCTTGTAAAGGCCTTTATGGTGTGAACAGTTCACACCTAAGGTTCCCAGAGCACTCAGAAATCATCTAATGAACTTCAAGTGCACTTGGTCGAGGAATTTCAGAGCTGAAACTCGGCGTCTGGTCCCAGCGGGGAGGGTCAAGCCTGAGTGCAGGACACTGCCAGGGCTCTCGGGGTCCTGTCACCGCATCAGGATGCGTGGCCAGACCTGGCCAGAAGAGGAGATCAGTGTGGGTCTTGTTCTCTCACCGTGCCTTGAAGCTGATGCTTTCGCAGGATGGAACTTGACTTTTCGTAGGCGGGGTGGCAGCACCTGACCTGCCCCCTGATGGATCTCCTGGTCTGGGCCTGTTGGAAGCTGAGGAGTATTTTGCATGAATGGGGCGGCTGAAGAGGAGTCTCGGGGGGTTGCAAGCATTGCCGGTGGCTACAGGACTGGAGCCT